GGGGTGGGGGGACTAGTGAGAAAAAATTAATTAAAAAAAAATGTCTATGCTTTGTTCGTACAATTGCTCACCCCTTTTTGCCACTAGCTGTCTGCAATGAATGGCAAAGAACTTAGGTCGAATGAAATGGAGTTTCAGGTCTTTGGTGTGTGGGTATAAATAGAGAAAGGTTGCCCGTCTTGGATGCCTTGTGTGGTAACATGTAGAAGCCAAGAAGTGAAAAGGGAAAAAGCAAGGTAGGCTGGAAGAGGGAGCAGCAAACAAACATCTATATGGGCTTCACATTGATATGGCGAGTGGATAGAGGAAAGTAGCTTGGAAGAGAGTTCACTCTAAAGAACTTGCACTCATAAAACCATTTTCCTGTATTGTTTTTGTTCTTTATTTGCAAATTTTACATTTTTTATAATTCTGTTATTTTCTGCAATTTCCTGCATTTTTTTATTTTTTTGCAATTTTCTGTGTTATCCTTTTATTATTTTTTATTTGAAAAATATCTTTTTGAACTTTTTATCAGTTTTTGTGTTTCTAGTCAAAATATTTCTATGGTTTTTTTTTTTTTCGCACTCGAATTTTGGATTAGTGGTCATATGGGTAGGTCAGGGTCTGGGTGGGTTGTGACCAATTAACATCAACAAACATGGGTGGCAAATGGGTTAGTGGATCCATCAATATGTGTGGATTGGTTCTCAACCTGCATACACTGTCCAACACATTCTTGGGGGCATAGCAACAAATATGACAACCCTGACACCATGGCCTCCACCTAACCAAAATGTTAAGGAGCTCACAATGTAAGTGAGCAGTAGACAATTTCTGAACAAGCTATGACATAAGATGTTTCAGATGTTTAAGGAGTTTCCAAATTCAGTCTTTCTACTTTACATTAAAAGTTTACTTCCTCTTACAGGTGGCCGAGGACTTTGGCTATGGCAAAAGCACTCTTTGAGCTTCAATCAGATCTAAAGTGTAATTCATTAGGATGCTCAGATTCCCAAGGAAGTTCTCTAGATTCAAGGTGTTCAAAAGCCAAATATGAGGATTTTTTTCCCAAGACACCCATAGGGAGAGACTCAAAGAAAAGGCGTGCAGTGCACAAAATCTCCTTAAATTTAGATAGCAAATTTAAGAAGGCTGAAAATGAGTTGGAAGCAGATGTGTATGGGAAGACCAATTCTGATCATCCAACTCAATGTCTACAATTGAAAGAGAAAATAAGTGCAACCTTGGCCTCACCTTTGGAGGGAGATGAGTCACAAGAGCATTGCTGCTATAATAAACAGTTGTGTACCAAAGTTAAAGTTGATGCTAATCCAGCTTTGGATCTGCAGTTTTCAGAAGATAAAGTATCTGGTACTAACGGTAAAATTGGAAATTTTCCTAACCCAAGAGAAATTGCAGGCCTTAATGAAGCCCTTTTGGCAAAACGTTGCAATCTTGGCTATCGTGCAAGTCGCATACTGAAACTTGCCCAGAGTATTGTGCAAGGCAAACTTCAACTAAGAGAACTTGAAGAGGATTGCAATGGAGAAAGCTCATCTCTCTATGCTATGCTTTTCAACAAGTTTAGGGAAATAGATGGATTTGGTCCTTTCACTTGTGCCAATGTCCTAATGTGCATGGGATTTTATGAAATGATTCCAGTTGATAGTGAAACTATTAGACATTTAAAACAGGTTTGTTTTGTTTCTTCCCTGTTATGGTTTCTTATAACAATTGTACTTCGTACTTTTGACATTATTTGTGCAGGTCCATGCAAGACAATCCACCATTCAAAGTGTTCATAGAGATGTTGAAAAGATCTATGGTGGGTACGCACCATTCCAGTTCTTAGCATACTGGTAGGTCATGAAAAAGTAATTGAGTTTCTTCTTTCTTATCATCCTCATTTCGTGATTGATTTTCTACCTTTTCCAGATTAATAGTGGGTACCTTTTTTTGAGCAGGTCAGAGCTTTGGCACTTTTATGGTGCAAGGTTTGGCAAGCTGAGTGAAATGCTTCCATCTGAGTACCATCTCATTACTGCCAGTAATATGAGAACTAAACGAACTAATAAGAAAAATATTTAATGGCGGAAATTACATTCTAGAAGAAAGCCTCTGTTCATATTTTTTGTTCTATAATTTGCTTTTGAATTGTGGAAGAAGTACGAGATGTACTCAAATTTTCTGTTCAAGTGCCATACCGAGGGAGGTGTTTGCCAAATTCTTCCTGACACCATTTGAGACTTCAAGAGTACCAGAACGTATTATAATTTAGCATTTCACATGTTTCCTTGAGTTTCTTCATCTGCATTCATTTTTTTCTCTAACCGAAGACCGAAGAACTAAGGTTGATTTCAATATCTCATACAACTGCAATTTATTAAGGCTATGCTTGTTTTGAAGGAAAAAACCGGGAAAGGTAGGGAAACTCGTACAACGTTTGTAAAGGTTTCTCCACCTTTCCTTTCCTTTCTCTACTTTTTCCTTCAAACCAAACGCAGCCTAAGCTATTTCCAAATAGCAAGTGCTGCTGTAATTATGGTGCTACAGCTACACATTCCTATTGGACGGGCAGTAGATTGTACTTGGGTTGTGTTTTCTACCATGGTGTTGTACAGATGTGTTTGTATTTGATAAAAACATTGGAAATTGGGAAGAAAATCGGTTGGGCATAAAGCGTTAAAAGAGTTTGAGATCGGCTCCACACTGAATGCATCCCACATGTACATGTCAGCAAGGTTTTAAAAAACGACCCAGAAATGGAATTGTTCTGATCATCAGTTTTTGGGTCCGAGGCTCAACCGTCTGAGTAGAACGGTTCAAGTGGTTCGACCCCTAGATTAGAATATTAGATAGACAGACATATACACATCTCTTTATAAGAAAAAAGAGATAGGAGACTGTGGGCTGAGAAAACAAGAAAGAAAGGAAAAAAAGGAAAAAAAAGAAAAAAAGGAAAGAAAAGGAGGGAAAGAAAAGAAGAATATGGAGGAGGAGGTAGCGGTGGTGACATTCACCGGCGTTGATCGCGGTGGCAACATTCACCGGTGATGATGATGACGATGGTGATGGCAACAGCAATGGCTCTCTTTCTCTGATCTCAGATCTAAGATTGTCCGAGTCCCTCCATCTCTCATTCTCTTTTTTTTTTTTTTATAATAATCATAAAAAATAAATAAACTTTAATTAAATTTGAAACCACTGCCCAAATTGAATGATTTCTCAGTTCGATTGTCTGGGTCAGTGGTTTTCTGACCAATTCAATGTTTTCTTCAAAAAAGCGGCCCTGTCCAAAACTGGACCCAGAAACACAACCGATTCCTGGGTCAAATGGTTTAACCATCCTGTCTGGTTTGGTTTTCAAAACAATGCATCTCAGTATGCATTGTGATTTGTGAACAACAGAACATATTCTGTAGTTGTCATATGGAGATGTTTCCAATTCACGGTTGGGATGTGTGTGACCTTGTGGGGCATGTGTGGGACACTCTTTATGGGAAATTCATCCGAATTTTAAAGATTTGTTTATTACTATTTATTATAAATATGTGTTTGGAAGCATGGGGGCATTTATTTGCTAAGCATTTGTATTTGATTTATTTGCAAAACTGAAAAAACTAATAATGAACCCGTTTATTGACACTTAAGTGTCACTATCCACTATATGCCATTAGGCACCACATCAACAAAACAGTGAATAAATGCCTACCCTTTGGGGGAAGGTGCTAAAATGAAACTTCCCCCAACAGTAGGCTTGCATATAAATCAAGGCCTGTTTTTACAATTCTATCCCGGTAAATGTCTGAATGGTGTTTCTTATAAAATTGATTTTCACAACACAAAAAGCAGTACAAAATGTTTGTATATAATAAATCCAACCAACAGGATGGTTTGGTGTAGTAAGCTTACTGGGCACTCCCTTGATCAATAGCTGAAACAATGTGACTATGTCCTCATTACATCACTACCAAGACTACCCCCAAATTGTTCAAATCCTCCATCAAGAGAAGAATACAAAGCCAATCATGATATAGCACATCAATCTGATACATTGGTACAACGTGGATGGGCATAAAATAGTACAGTTTTGGTCTTCAAGAGCAAGGTTGAAGTATCAAGAGAATTTCTATCAATGGAAAGTCTTTTCTAAGGATAAATTATTTATACCCCTTGAAGTTTCTGACCAATACTTAAACCTCCCCTGATGCTTGGGTAAAACATACGTACTGACCCCTTCCGTTAACTTGAGTATATGGTGGAGAGATAAATTTACAGGTTTACCCTTATCATTTCCTATTAACTTTTCATTGTTATTAGTATTATTTCTTGAACATTTCTTGTTTATTACTGATCAAAAAACATTTTTTTGTTTGTTATTATTTTTTCTCTTGTCTTTTCAATTTCCTATTACTCATATGGTTGTTGTATACTATTTTTCATTTTATTTATATTAATGTATATTTGAGTAAAAGACTTAAACAAACCCTAGAGTTTTTTTCGAATTCATTTACGTATTCCCTTAGTTTCTCAAATAGACTAAAATGTACCTTGTGGTCTGATCCCACTCGACTTAAACATACCCCCATTTGATAAAACGTTATATGTCGTTTCGTTAACTTCTTTTAATTTCTAAAATTCCTATTTTACCCTTTGTAAACATTGGCCCCTTTAAAAGAATATGCCTCCTTTCCTGCTCTGTTTCTCAACTCCAAGAAGTTTTGTTTGTCCACACAATATAATTTGTATTATAGCACATCGATCACATTTAAGAGTGGATTCGAGCTGAGCAGAGTTGAACATCTGGCTACTCAATCTTGACTTGCCAACAAACTATTAGGCTCGAGCTTGACTGTGAGCCAAAAGTTTTATAAAAATTAGTTATTATTATATATATATATAAATAAAAATATTATATATAATATTTTTTATTATGTATAATATTTTTATATTATATATATGTGTGTGTAGGGGTGCAAATGGATCAAATCATGATCCGATCCTATTTGGTTTAATTTGGATCACCCCTATTTGGATATTCGGATCGGATTCAGATTCGAATCACCCCCTATCCAATCTGAGAAGATTTGATCCAATATATATGTTATATATATTTTTATATAAATATATATAATACATATATATGTTATTTATTTATTTATTTATAAATATATTATTTATATTGTATTTTTGTAAATTTGTTATATTATTTATTTTGTATAAAAAACATGTATGTATATGATGAAAATAATTTAAAAAATACTTGCATTTTTTGTTTTTCTTTATTTAAATTGGTATATTTTATTTTTATTTTAATAATTTATTAATTTTTAAAGAAAACAAATCGAATTGGATTAGATTCGAATACCCGATTTCCTGATCGAATTCAAATTCAGATCCTTTTCTATCAGATCCCATCGGATCTTCGGATTGGATTGGATCTGTAATGAACAATGTCGGATCGAAATCGGATATACCCTACTTCAAATCCGATCCGATCCGTTTGCATCCCTATGTATGTATGTATGTGCGTATATACGTATATGTAAAAGCTCGATTAAACTTGCGAGCCTTATGAGCCGAGCTTTATTAGGCTCGAGCTTAATTCCATTAACAAACGGACCTATATATTAATATTAAGCTCGAACTTGTTTCAAAGCTCGATTTAGATCGAACTGAATCGAACTTTACATTAACTGAATTCGAATAGCTTATAAAAAACTCGGCTCGTGGCCAGCCGTAGATTCACACCCCCTAGTTGAGAACGTTCAATTGCCAAAGTTTTAAGTAACTTTTAACTGCACAATAGCATAGTCCATCGTTTGATAAAGAAGTCAAGAACAAAATCAATGATCAAATGAACCAATAAGTGGTATCTAGGCTTTATTTCACATGGTTAGAGAACTCAATTTGCATGAATTGACTCCCATCTCAAGCAGCTAGCCAAGTGCTTTCATTATTTTTTTTATGCTCATTACTGACACGTAATTAATGCAAGGTAAAGAAACACAATCTTTAATTGGATGAATTAAATAGCATGAACGGTATGTTGTTCAAATATGTGTGAAGAATGAACGATCGGAAGAGGGAGAGAGAGGAATGTAGCCATGTAGGTGTAGGTGGTTATGTTCTATTTCTGGGTGAATAGCAGCACTAACAGAGGGGACAATGGTGGAGAAGAAGAGAAGAAAAAGGACAGAGAGAGAGAGAGAGAGGAATGTAGAAGGTAGACATTGCTTTTGGTTTGGCCCGTTAGGTGGCGGTCATTGGAGTTTGGGTCTTTCTGGTTTTCTTTGAAAATTCGAAGAATGGTGAAGGGTAAAAAAGTATTTCAGTTAAATTCTGTCATATCTAATGGCCACAAGGTGCATTTAAGTCTACTTGAAAACCTTAGGAAATATTTAATTCAATTTACAAAAACTCAGGCAGGGTATGCTCAAGTCTTTTACCCTTTATGTTTTGTTTTTTATTTTTTATTTTTATAGTTTTCTTCTATTTTTGTTTCACTACTTTATTTTAGTTGTTTCAATTTTAAATTTGTTTTCAATTATTTTTATTATTTTTCTATTTTGTTTTTGTCATTTTCCACTATTTTTTTTTGTTTTACCTTTTATTTCTTATAATTTCCTTTAATGCAACATCATCCTTAGGTAAATTAGGGATTTTAAAGTCTTTTAAAGCATGAACTCATCAATTTTGGTTAGGTTTCTAATATTAAACTAGTAAAAGGGGTCAAAAAGTATAGTTTACCCCAAACGTCATCAAAGGTTTTTTTTTTTTTTTTTTTTTGAGATGTTAATTATGGAAAAACTTTAGCTGTTGGGGGCCAACAGGCTATGTTATTGAGAGAATTTCTGAGAATGCCACATTATCATGAAAATGGGTAAATTAGTAATTATATCTTAATTTATTTTGACTAAAAACAAAAGCATGGGTGTGAATAGGTGAACTGCCCAACTGTGTCAACAGCCTATGCTGTTGGGCCCCAACAGCCAAAGTTAACCCATTTTAAATGGGTAAATTTTTTAAACTATCCTTGTGGTTTAGCTAATTGATTAATTTTAGGATTTCTAGTAGATAAGGGCAACTTTTTGCCCTGAATATCAATAAAAGATAATAATTTTATAAAATAACAAAAATAAGGTAACTTTTTTTTGGAAAATATCAAGGAAGGGCAATGATACTGTTCATCGCCTTCCTCTGCCTCTATATTCATCCGAATACATAGGATTTGAAACCTCAGTGAAGGACGCATTAACAGTGGTTCTCACGGGAAATGGCATCGTCCCACTTCTAGT